AGCTTCTGATAATCACCAATTAATGAATTACTGAACCAAAAATTTCTAGTTTATCATAGAAGTCACCAGTGGGCCTAAGTTAGCTACAATTTTTCCTGTAATATGTTCAGCTATGTGAAATTTTTCAAGTCTGCACTCACAGCAGCAAGACAACGATAAATCCTCACAAACGAAGGCAAAAACTGATCTACAGCACAAATGTTACGAAAACATGGAAAACTTACCAGTCTGATGTTGAGCAATGAAACAAACAGAATAATTCAAATATCCCTGAAGAACTGTGTAAACAGAGCAAATAATTAATGAAATTTATTACTTATGGCTTGACTGGAACCTGGAGCCAGACCCTGCAAATAAAGCTCCCCTCTATTAGGAGAATAGGAAAGATAACTTTTTATCAGTAACAAAACAGAAAAAAAAAGCCAACAACAAATGAAGAGAATTTCTTTAAACAACTCAACATGTATAGATCAGAACTAGGAAACACTTCAACCTGAGCAGGTTTGTACAGAATCATACAATAACTGAGGTCAGATGAGGCCTTTGGAGGTCTCCAGTCCAACCGTGTCCAGTTGAGTTTTGAATATCCCCAAGGATGGGGCTTCCACTGCCATTCGACGGTTCTGGGGCCACTATGAAAATATTTCTCTTTATATTCATCTGGGATTTTCTTTAATGCAACTTGAACCCACTGCCCCTCACCTTTTTGCTATACACCTCTGAGAAGAACCTGGCTCCATCTTCTCTAAACCCACCCATTAAGACAGCTGAAGAACAAAACAGAAGATGCCCCCAGAGCCAGTCTGAACAAACCCAGCTCTCGCAAATTCTCACCACAGGACATGTGCTCCAGCCTTCTCATCTCAGCAGCCCTACAAGGGACTCGCTCCTGCCCAGCACTGCACACAGTACTCCAGATGTGGTCCCTCAAGTGATGAAAACAGGACTAATGGCTTTCCTTGACCTGCTGAAGGCTCTTCTTAATGAGATTCCTCAACTGCTGCAAGGGTGCACTGCTGACTCACAACCAACCTGGTCACATCCAACATATGAATAATGGGATTACGCTGTAAGAATGTTTATAGAGTATTTAGAAGATGTCTCTGTAATGCTAGAGCATCAACAAATAACATGTCTACTCATTGCTATGTCGACTTACTTTTATCATCTCAAAATGCTTTCACAAACGCCTGCGATCTCAGACTTCAGGAAAAAGTTGGGGGAATTAAAAAAAAAAAACAACCAACCAACCAACAAAAAACTCAAAACAACCCAAAAAAGAAGTGGAGGTAGAAATTGTTGTTTTAAGAAGACGGTGAGAGAGAACAACTCAAGTATAAGGACTTTAAGAGCGACAAAATAACAGTCAAAACTTACTCTACGAAGTTAAAAGCAATCTGTGCCCGTCGCAGAAGAGAAGCATCTTAAATAATTTCTTCTCTATTCACAGAACAAAAAGGTAGATCTAGTCTGCCACCAGATCCACTTCAAGGGAACTCACATGAGAACAAATTGCAGTAATTCCAGATTGGCTACAACAAATTGCAACTGAATAGCAAAGCTATAAAAATGAGGCATAATTTTCAAGAAAATCCAGAGATAGAAAGACAAAGACGACTCCCGTATTGCATAAAACACCCTAGAACAAAGGCTAAATTCCAGGACACACTCTCCACCAATTCTTTCACTTACTCCAGATCACATACACGTCTCCTGATATCATCACACCAGCTTCTATTTCATTTTAGCTAATTCACGTCAAACCAAAAAGTTATTAGCAGCTGCAAATTGTTCATTGTGAACTTTCAGAATAAAGGAAATAAACTGCCACGAGCGTCCTGGTAAGAGCTGAAGTCTTACTCTTTCCTCGTACCTCTCAATGGTCAAAGAAAAGCCAAAATAGACAGGGGCAACCAAAAAACCGACACCATGGAACTAAAGTGTCCGATTCCCCAGTTTAAGTCATTTATTTTCTCTGGTGAGAAGATGGTATTTACCAGGAAGCTACAGACAAGGAGGATCTGCCAATCTCCAGTCGTTCACAAGGGGTTTAACTGTTCAACCTTCAGCTAGGGTAGTGATGCACGATGAGACCAGCAGCTACCTGACAGTGACACACAGAATTAAGACCAGATTATTCTACGTTAGACGTACAATTTTAGTGGTGTTCCTTTAATCCTGCATCACGTGAACCTACAGTCAGGATACACCTATAACCAGGATACAGAAGCTGTAGTACTATTTTTGTTCTTCCCTATTGTTTTAAAAAGCCAATGCTTGAAACAATGACTTTTTTTTTTTAAAAAAAGACGGTATAGTAAGCAATATTTCTTTTAAAATTGCAGCTGTCCAACAGTTTGAGTCTGTTCTTTTTAAAATGAAACAGCCAAAACAAATGGTGGTGGCAAGCCCAACGTAAAGAGGCCATCGATTATTAAAATCTCCTTACTATAAATCGTGGATGTTGCTTGTCAGCTTGGTGTGTGACTGTAGTATGAATAAGTAGGTAAAATTCCACTAAGGCTACAGTTTGCTCGATCATTCTGCTGTGCAAAAATAGAAATAAAAGCTCTCCCCGTCCTTTCACTCCTTAGTACCAAAACATTCATACACACATGAAGAAAAAAACCTGCGATGGTCGCTGATCCAATTCCTTTCTTTCCTGAGTCTGCCCTGATGCTACTTATGAATTTGCCTACTCGAGAAATGCAATAAAACAGAAAAAAAAGACGGCTTCATTCTGCTTCAGCGATCTAGATCTAAGGAAAGCACATAAATTTTCCAATGAAATCCACAAATGAAAGACGAGGCCAAGCCCTACCTATATATCTTCAAAGCTACAGAGACAACGAGGTGCCAAGTCTGTGCCCTCTGAAAGCACAAAATCTCCTCCGCACTTACCTAAGCAATTTTCACAAGATTAACAGATGTAAAGATGATCTAGTTAGCCTACGCCTTGGAGGGGTTTAGGCTGGCTTAAAACCTGCCGAGGAGCCGCGTTGTAGGAGTTTGCAATGCTATCTGATAGTTAAGCGTGAGGAAGGGATGAGAACAAGCCAAGTAATAGCAACTTCCCTTGATCGCCTCCACCTGCAGAAGCGGAGGGGAGAAAAGGGAAACCCATCCTTCAGACCAAGCCCGTTTTCCCCTTTTTAAACTATTCCCACATAAACAGGGAAGGTAAAAAATGGAATGTTGTGAAAACGCTATGCAAATTTTTACGTATCTATATACAAAAATTTACATAGGTTTTTAATTTTTATTTTGAACGTAACACAGTCCTGCCCGTCTCTAACACTTCCCGTGCTGTTTCCATTGAAATGTTTCCTCTTACCAGCAGCAACATATCATTTTATCAGGATGCCAGGAGATCATTTCCACACAATGCCAGCAGATGTAATTTTCTTAGATGCACACACAGTTCATCATTTAGATACTAGATGACAAGGTGATCGCAGGGTGACTCTGTAATGCAAGTTTGCTGTTTGGTATTTTGAATTCTCAAATGATAAAAAAAAGACTTATCAAATATAAATATCTTTAAGAAAAAAGTAACAAAAGTGCTACATATGATCAAGGAAAACAATTCCATTAGTTTCTGCTACTTAAAGTAGGTTTGCTTTACAAATATTACCACATCCATTATCAGTATGGCTTCCAATTATTAATTAAATTGCTCGTAGCAGTATAGCTTTCTCACATCTTAACAAGGACAGAGTAAAGAGAACACAAAACATTCATACCCCATTTCTCAGGTAAGAGATCCTCCTGCCTTTAAACAAACAAAAAAAGTTCGTATTTAGGAGAATATTTATGCTACGATGGTTATCTAGCAAAGGTCAGCTGCAAAAGTTCTCCAATAACCTTTCAGGCTAGTCAGGACGTAGGCATTAGTTACACAGACGTGTAAAAATCCACTCGCCCATTTTATGACCTTAATACCTTCCCGGAAAACATTGCTTTTGAAAAGTGGCAAAGTGGAGAGGGGAGGAGGGTGGGGACAGAAAAGGCGAGAGGAAGAAGAAAAGGTGAAATTGTTAATGACAGATCAATAGAGTCTAGACCTCTTCTGAGCAGGCACTGCTAGCCATGCCAAATAATGAATAGTGGTTTTGAGAAGTGGACTGTTGTCCATTAGACATTCAGCTCATTTTTCATATGATCCCAGGCTGGGCTTCAAACATGGTCCCAGAGGCAGAAGGCAGTACTTATCCACTAAGCCACGCAGCTCGTGAGAGTAGAGGATGTCTGTGTTGAATATGTGAACATCAACCGAAATATGTGAATGTGTTTCCAATGGACATTCTCAGCACAGCACCCAAAAGTATATCGAGTCACTGTATGACCAGTGAGGCACGGCTTATTGCAGCTGGAAATCATTTATTCCCATGCTGAAGTGGGGTTTCTAGTGTTCTTTTTACTCTCTGCTGATACTCCCGATCTGGTGTCCATCGACCCTGTGCCACTACCTCAGCTTGCATCCTTTCAGTCTCAGAGAAGGAAAAGCGTACAGACTAGGGGGTTTTTTAACACGATCTCTAAGGGTATCCAAGATTTTTAAGTGTAGCCTAAGACTTGTAATTGAGGGCTGTCTAAAATACCTGGAAGCACTTTGAATGCTAAGACAGAGCAGCAAGATTTTTCTAGCCACTGGGGCTGGGAGAGGGAGGTTGGTTGGTTGATTGATTATTTATTGGGAATTAATACTGAGAGAGTATATGCAAAGGCTGAGGGCACCATGCCATCTTCACAGAACAAGACCCTAACAGCTAACTGACGTACAAGAAACTGCAAAGTTATACTGTAAGAACACATATTAAGGACCGAGGAAAGTCTGCTAAGGTGCTACGTCTAAAACTAAGTTACTTCTTGCTTTGACCCTCCCCTTTCTTTGTATCAGTCGTCGTCTAGAGCCTCTGTCTTGATCTCGTTGGCTCCTTGCCGGGCCAATGCCAAGATGGTGTGGTTTACCGCTGCCATTTCCACGGCTAATGAAATGGGGTCTTGATGGTCACTATGGCTAGTGCTGTCATCCTGGGCATGCGGAAAGGAGAAGAGAGAAGCATTGTTACTCCACAAGTAGAAAACCAGCGGATAAAACTAGCGTGTAAAATAACGGACTAGGGGCAGCAAATTGCACGTTCGTTACGGGGGTAGAAAGCGAAAGGAATTTACAAAATCGATTTAGGCCTGATTTCCCTCACTGCGCAGACAAAGGTAAGCAAGGCAAGGGGTGGCGTACCCAATTTTCCAGAGAGAAATTTGAGGGGCGTTGGGGGATATTCTGAGAAAAATATTATATTATAAAGATAAAAGTGATACGCAAGGCATGTCAGGAAACCAAACTAAGATAGGAATCATTATGCACCGCACAAATTCATGCTACGCTTACATTTTGAATATACAGCTGTGGTCATCCCGCCTAAAGAGGACACATTAGAGCTAGAAAAGGTAGAGAGAGCGGCAACCCAGGGGAAGAGAGGCAGGGGTGGCTTCCTCACGGGGAGAGGCGAAACGGACCCAGGTTCTTCAGTTTGGAAAAGAAACGGCTGATGGTTGATATGGTAAATGTTTATTACAAATAATGAGTAAATAGAGAACAATTGTTTGTGGCTTCTCATGATGTAATATGGGCACTCACTGGAATGATAATATATTCCAAAGCAGCAACGGGAAGCACCGCTTCACTTACCACGGCGCAGTTGTGGGATTCACTGGTTTTTAGATCAGATGAAAGTACAAACGGCTTTCAAAGGCAGCGGTTAGACAAGTACAGGGAAAATTCGCCTACTAGCAACTATCAAAACTGAAAGTGGATACACTGCCTGGCTCAGGAAGCCTCTCAAAGCTACTGACTTCCAGAAGCTGGAAGCTCCTATAATAAAATCATTCTAGATATTCCTTAAAAATACTTTTTCTTTAAATACTGCTATTGACCTCACTCAGAAGCAGGATACAAACCTAGACTAACCCTTGGTGTGAGCCAGTATCCTGTGGAGACACTGAATTCACGCAGGTACAGGGAAAAAAGATGCCGAAAAACTCCGAGACCGCAAAGAAAACCAGTGCAATGATTTTAGGGGACTGGAACCACCGTAATTCAAATATGCAGGTGCAGGTACTGCCAGGTTCTCCAGTCCACTGAACTACTCTGTATTTCTTTGACTTATTTTCTAAAAAGCAAAGCTTCCCAGCTGTAAGAGGACCACTGTGGGGATGGCTGTGATGGCTGGCAAGCAAAATTAATCCAGAGAAACTGCGGTGCTCCTGGACTGCAGCGAAACTTTTAAAACTTTTAAAGGCAACGAACACCAAGGGCTCCCTTCTACAGGTGCACAACGGCCATACAACAGCAGACCTCAAAGTCTGACAAATTCTAGCATGAATTTTATAGCGAGACGTGCGTGTTTATCGGTCTGCATCAGCAATAGGGCCTGGTTTTGAATGACAGGAAGGAGAACCAGCAATATCTGATCTCTAATCCCACCTGTCAAATAAATTCTTCTGGGACATTGGGCAAAATTGTGGTGTTTTCCCATCTTTAAAATGGGGTACTAATAGTTATCACACCATGATCTCGCCTTTTTATAATTTTTTTTTTAATTTACAGAAAGGATATAATAAACATTTATCAGTCTTCCAACAGCCTTGAAGTGATGAACTTTTTAAATTTAAAATTTAAAATGCGTATTACACCTTTTAAATTAAGATGACGGGTGGCAAATGTGGAGGGGGACAGAAAAACCACGATTTGATAAAATCCTAAGGTTATTTAAAGGAATGCATTAACTTACAACAAATGTCAGGCAAATACTGTGATGCGCACACACTCTAAGGGCCTCTCTGTAATCTTTACCACGGTGAGAATTACAAAGTCCTGACTTCTGGAGTTTTAGGTGTTTCATTGGTATTTGGATGAACTTTGTGTTTTAAAGTTTACTAGAGTTTAAGTGTCGCTGTAGAAAACAAAATTTATGGGTTTAACAGCTAAGGGATGTTAAACGGTCATCAGGAGAGCTTGCCATTTAATCCGCTTCGCTGCTAATGCCTAATTATACTTCACAGAGGAGCCCAGCTAGATTACTGAGAAATGTAATTTTTAAGGCCTCTAAACAAAGGTCTTTAAATTTTAATAACCAATTTAGTTCTCTTTTCAAAGTATTCTGGATAACAGACAAAAGAAAAACATAGTTTGGGAGTCTACATAACACTTCATTTCAGTGTTCAGGTCCTGTATCTGACCGACAAGGAATTCTCTGTGCTCGGTAGCAATTTCAAAATATTTTATACCAGTCAGAGAGCAGCCTCTCATCATCTAGAGCTAGGGAGGTTGGTTCCACCAAATCTGCCGGTGATGACCTATAAAAAGGGCCTTAATACCCATCAGAAGCAGAGCGGCTGGGAATGCTTCTGCCAGATATCCGTCGTACTGGGCCACAGCCAAACCTGCCAGGGACTCATTCCAGGATGCTCAGTTGCTATTACACTCCATCTTTATAGAGGGAGACCTACCTATTTCTCCCAAACGAGTCAATTAAAAGCGATCTGCCCACCCCAGATGTTGGGTGGAGCGCAGAACACGGTTCCTATCCAAACCAGAACCAAGGATGTGAACTGTTCAACAAGTCCACTGGTTACAAGCACACAGAGCCCTGAGGGGTTTTGGCCAACTGACATCTGAAGGAAAATTGGGAAGGGGATGCAATACCTGTCAGGAAGGTGTGTGAAGGAAGGGTCACCAACTTTAGGGTAGGTGAGGGCTCAGAGTGCGGGAAGGGGTATTCTTTTGCTAGAGAATTTAAAAAAGAAGTTGCTGTCAAGGGTTAAAAATAACCAAGAAAAATAGAGAATAGGTAAGAGTTAAAATGCAAAAAGAAAAAAAAAAAAAAGAGACAGATAATATGTAAACAATCCAAATAGTGGCACATCTTTGCAGAACAATATGAAACAGGTACAGGGCCAAATAAATGTCAAACGTTATTTAGTGAACTCCTTTCCCCCCACCCTTCACCCTTTGTCTGTCAGTGCCTTAGGGACTGATCCTGAGACGCTCCTGAAAAGCACTCCCACGGACAAACAGAGGGAGCTCAGCACCTTACAGGAGGGCGCTCAGTGTCTTCCTGGGCAAGGTTGAGAAAAGGGATTATAAGAAGTGGCTGGGGCTTACTGCTGTACTTGTCTGGGTGCCAGGTAAGAAACTCACAGTAGCTGTAGCACAGGCTATAACGGAGACATTTCTTGCAGAAAGGAATAGTAAGTGCAAGAGGAACACACACACCTAGTTTTGCAGGGAAGCATGTTGGTGCCTGATACATAGGAGCAACTGTTAAAGGCCTGTACGTCCTTTCTTGAGGGTGGATAACTAGAACGGTGGCAGGGGTAAGGAGAGCGCAAGTTATGCATGGTGCACTGGGTGAGTTAACACTCTCCTAACATTTTTCATACATTGCGTGTGGTGTGAATGGTGTAACTTGCTTGTTTGGAGCAGATCCTCCTGTCTTCTTCTACCTTCTCTGCTTCTCTGCCTCCCTCTGAACATCTTCCCTCCTCCTCCCCATTGCGTACTTGCCAAGTGTCCTGTTGTATGACAATAAATCCATGTGGGTGAATACTGGTTGCTCAACACATTCAAACAGGTGAGCTGTGCTCTTCCACTTTCCCCATTACAATTACATAAAAGTAAAACAAAAAACAAGAGACATCTGATTTGCGAGAGGTAGAGGGCCTCTTCATGTGTCGCGTGAACTCTCTCGTTTTGGGCCATGCAGCGCAGCCACGATGCTTACCTGCTCTGAGTAGTCATTGCCATCAACGTCGTCACTGTTGGAATGACCTCCCGGACTCTGTACATCTATTCCATGGCTCTCCAGGATTGCTGCTTCTTCGAAAAAAGCAAATGGATCCCTAATTTATCTGATGCATTAGAGTAATTAAAAGTAACTACTTTTTTTCAAGATGTTAGAGTAACTGGAAGAACAGAGTTAGTTCTTAGACTCCTCCTCTTCACTCTCCAGTATTTGGGAAGGTAGCACATGTACAGATACTGGTTTGCCTGAAATCCTTCCCTGCCAACTAACAGACTTGTTTGCAAGTAAGAATCCTTGTTTTCCAGCCAGTCCTATTAGAAATTAGCTTAATTTCTAATGCACTGGAGTGGCAAAGGCATTCCCTGTAGATCTTCCCACATAGTTTGGACTGGCAGGACTTGAGGGGGGCAGGGAGTGTCTGAAAATAGATGGAGAAATTTTTTAAAGCACTTAAGGGATTTAAAAACATACATATCTTCATCTTCCAGTAAGATCCATGCATCTAAAGCTCCCTTTGGCTCTTTTTAATCTCTTTCCAACCCTCCTCCCCATCCAGCACAGATACAGCTATAACTCCGTCCACCTTGGACTCTGCTTTGTTCCCCCCCAGCCCTTCGCCACATAGGTTTCATTTTTAAAAAGATAAGCGTAGGTTAAATTTCAGTAACGCGTTACGTGATGTAAAGAGAAATTTGTCTTATTCACAATAAGAAAAGAAAGAAGCAGACAGCAAACATTTGACGTTTGCAAAAATAGCGGTTAACAGGCAGGTATGGATCTCTCTCTACATACTGCAAATATAATTCTGCATAGTATCTGAGTGAGTGCATAAGATCTTGCATGCACTGCAGAAGTTTGTCCAATCCTGGCCACTAATGTGAGTTTATTCTCATTAGAATGTGTTACGCTGAGGTCTACTTCTTACAAGTTCAGAGTCACTTCTAATATCCTTACGATCACCTACTCACGCAAAGAACCTGCAGGGCTAACTCTGAAGTGATTTTTGTTTAATCCTGATCATCAAGAAAAATTATTACTTTGTTCCAGCCACTTGTCACTGCGCAGCCCCTTGGAAAAAAAATAAGGGGCGCAGATGTAAGCAGAATAAGCGGTTGGCTTGCAGAACCTTTGGTCCTAATGGCTGTATCTGAGATGTAAAACAACTCATCTGGACTCTTAGATCCCTGTGGGGTCTTGAGGATGGCAGTAAGACAGACACCCCCAGGTTTTGGCTGAAAAAACAAGGACATTTCAGTGGAACACAGACACAAGGAAAACTTACAACCAGATAAAAGCTCTTCACAACAGCCACTTTTCATTTAAACGGCATGCTAAGGTTGTGAACTCACAATCGTCTCAATCTCCCTTATTCCCAATGCAGATATTTTGAGGGTTTATGTTCGATTTTATTTCGGATACCCAAAGGAGCCTGAGCATAGGGAAATATGATTCTCCTTCTGCCAAAAGAATTCTCACTTTGGTTTTTAAAACTGATCTTCCAGTAAAATTTCATAACTGCATCATTTTTCCTGCACTGATGATGGAATTCCATGAATTAAATTTCTACTCATATTTCAGAAAAAATCTGGAACAGCAAGAGACTAATTTTAAAAATTGCTCCACATTTCTATTACAAAAACGTCAGAACCTCTAGTATTTTCGTTAGTACAATCTTAGGTAATTTCCATCTCTCCTGAGTAAGTCTATGTACTGACCCTTGAAAACAGGCTCTCTGATACATTACCGATATTGGCTCTTCTCTTGATTTCCTTTCTTCTGTTGGCAAACCAATTGTACACTTTAAGGGAGGTAACTCGCTCCAAATCCGATAACTTTTTTCCTATGAAAGTAATGGGGAAATAGAAAACACAGCATTGTTACTCACTGGTTCCAGAGGTAGGCAAAAGACCCTCACACATGTGATAAACCCCTGAAATACTGACAGCACTGAAAAGTTATTATAACTGAGAATAAAGAATTTTATGACTCAAAGTACTGTGCCCAGATGCTATAGTAACAAATGCCAAATATCTCTCTAAAAACAAAGTAGCCTTTCTTCTTTTTTAAAAAAAACCCTGAAATACTGGAATTTCTTTGCAGCTTCAATCAACTAAATCCAGAGCCATGGGAGAACAGAGGGCTGCTTTTCTAGTTCAAGCACAAAACTGAGATTCAAAAAAACTCAAATTCAATTCACAGCCCTGCCACAAATCGCATACCCTTGGGCTAGTTCTCTTACTATGCGCCACGAGGATATAGTTCAATGACGTGTTTTCTTCAGCAGCAAAACAAATGAAGAAATTTTATGTCATCCCCTCCAATCTGCTTTCCTTCCTCTCAACCACCAGCCGCTGTCGTGCTCCCGCAGCGCTAATCACACCCTCCCAATTACACCGGGACACTTGCGATCTTTTGGGAGAATGGGGGTGGATGTTGGAAACCAGATCACCGGAGTTTTACACTTTAAATTTTACACTTAAACCAGAAAAAAAAAAAAAAAAAATCCCCACCAACCACCAGGCAGCTACAGGAAACAATGCCTTTTTCTGATCACCCACATAAAAGAGGGAGAACTGGAGGGATTCAGCATTGCAAGTGGAAACCTCTTCAGTTGGCCTCGACCCTATATAAAATATTCAATGTAGCTGCATCTTCAGTCCTCTTCAGGCTGCATGGGGATGAGACTCCCCTGCTTCAGATTGTTTCTCAAAGTTTATTTATTCAGCATTCAAAATATTCATGTAATTGCAGCAATCTGCCAACTTAAATAAATAAGGAGAGAGGAGACGAGTGAAAGAAAGAAAAATCTGAAAATAGATAGCTACGCTGTTTCCTAATGCTTTGCATCAGTACCACTCATAACATTTTAGCAGCCCTGAGACACAGCGTTTAAGCAGTTTGGTCCAAGTTGTTCAAGCAGCCAGCAGCGCAGCCAGGAATAAAATCCTAACCTCTTTGGTGCTCTACCCGATAGATCATTCTGCTTCCACAATGAAAAGACAAGAGGCAACACAGAGAAGATGCAACAAAGGAAATTTTGACTAGGTATTAGGAAAAAGTATTTTGCCATGAGAATGCTCAACATCGTGGAACAAGGGCCCAGAGGCGGGAAGAACTCCGGTTTTGGAGATATTCAAAGCTTAACAAGGTTCTGCCTGACCAGATGATCTCCAGAGGTCACTTCCAGCCTAAATTGCTCTAGGATTCTGTGCTATCCTGCGACTGTCCCCATGTTCAGGAGTCATGCCTTACCTTCCTTTTGCATTCATTTATAATCTGGTTATACAACATCTAAATATATCCAAAATACAAGTTCTGAAAACCATGTTAAGTGTTTGGTTAGCAAAACTAAGCAAAGGCAGGTGCATCCACTAATACTACACTGAATATTCATGCTCTTCTCCCAAGTACAACTTCTCCAGGAACAGGGAAAATGGGACTTGTTGACCCAACGACAAGGTTCTCCATTAATACACAGATTCTAACACAAGACCCCTGTCTAGAAGCTGTAAAGAAAAATGAAAGACAGGAACGCTGTGCTCCTTACTCCTCCGAGGACCTGCTGTTACGATCTCCAGCAAGCCTCAGCCTGTGAACCTAACATTGCCCATCTGTAAAACAGAACCAGTAAAACCCACTTTTTGTGGAGTGTAATAAAATTCTCAGATCACTACTGAGTGCTTATAGAAGTCCTTTGAAATAAGTGAACGTAAAAAATGAAAACCTTTCATACATGTTTCATACATTTTCTTAGCGATGCCATTCACAAAGCTATATAAGTGAAATGTTCGGGTGCACAACTTGTACTTCGTATCTCAACTGACGGGAATTTAAGTTTCAGACATCAGCATTTAGGTTTGAAAATTGCATTGACTGTCATGCTCATCCAAGTACGGCACCTCTGAACAACACGAGTTATAGAATGCTCAAGAAGAAACCTACTACTAGTTGAGAGCGCTACATTTGTTAGTAACAATCATAAAATGGGATTTGCCGAATTTAGCAGGAGATGTTGAAATCTAATTGCAACTGCCTTTGGAAAGGACACCACGATCAGCTCCTCACCTGGCTTTTGTATAACTGCATTACAGGCGTTTGCAATTTCTTCTCTCTTTGCCTCGTCTGGATATTGATTCTCATTGAAGTAACTGCAAGGAGGAAAAAAAAAAGAAGGGGTTTTTTTTTTCAGAAATCAGAGCATGAATGCTTCAAAGCGGCTTCACTAAAAGATGTCAACTGCTAGTTTATGTAACACTTTCACAGACATAATACAGACACAGTAAATTTTAGGTAAACCTGTGTACGTGTAAGGTATTATCGGCATGCGCTCGTATCCACGCAGACCGGCTAAAACTTCCCAAATGCCTCAGATAAATGAATATTATCTCGGCGTTTGTGGCGTCACCTCGGCATTCGGAATATTGTACTAGGAGATACAACAAAGCAGACAACACCACGACTATCAGAGTTAAGACTGTCAAGTGAAGCATCATGTCAGAAGACATCGTAGGCCATGCCTCTGCCTTTTTTTATTATCATTTACTTATCTTTTTTTCCTGACATAGCCCCAGCTTAGCCAGTGTCCTACTAACGAAGGAGCTGTTCAAGATCCCTGGGTTAATATATACACACATACACGCATATATACTTGCATATATTGTGCGCACAAACACACAGAAGTATTGCGGACTTTAGGCAGATAGGGTATGAAGATTGTACAGACAAAATTACACAGTAATACAGTAAGACTTCTAGAGTCAGACTAGTGTGGGTTTTATAAAAAATCACAATTTAAAAATTTTAAATCTTCCCCAGAACAACGTATTGAGTATAGCATATTTTAACAGTATTTTTTTCAGAATGATTGTGATTTTATTGTACTTTATATGAAGTAAACATCCCATAAAAGTTAAATGAAGTAAAAGAGAAAACAGTTTAAGTGCTTTACAAATTTTAATGAACTGATTTACATTCTACAGAGCTTATCAGATTTGCATTAAAACCAACAAAAAGTCCTGTTTACTTCAATCGACTCTGATAAGCATGCCATAAGCAGGGACTACAACATTTTTTCTGTAGATTGTCCGTAATACATAATCCTAAGAATTCTTTGATCAACTTTGATCAGCATCAAGTTCAGCTGCTGGGACAGCTGCTCCGTATTTGAAAAGAAGATATTAATTGTAGATCATTTGGTACTGGGAGAGTAAGGCATATTTAGGCAATTATTATTTTCCATGGTCATATTTTTCCTCCAGTGGATCGGCCCCGGTTAATTTATACGGAAACCTGGATTCTGTTCCATACAGCAATTCTTTCTGTCCAACCTTCTTTTGAAAAAGAGATATTAATGCAGATCTCACTATTTCACTTCCAGTTTATTTCTGTTCACTGTAAATACAGATTTTGAACATTCAGTTGGAATTTTAGGTACTGCTTCTTCAGCCCATTGTTTACAGCATCATTTACAGTTGCAGCTATGCCCACAAACGCGGTCCTATTTCAAAGTTGCTACTCGTTGACTAAGAAATCACACGTTAGCACAGCTAGTTCCACTGCTAACGTGCTTCCACTTGATTTGCTAGCTCAGAGAGCAAACAAAACCTCAGAAATAGCTCCATCTGCACTAAATGAAGGGCAGCCTATGCCTGTACTACCAATTTGGGCTTTGCAGGAAATCACGTGTACACGTAAACATCTACTACTTCTTCCCTGGACTTCATAAATTGCTCTTATGAAGTAAATCCGGAGAGACCGACCACAACTGCAATTCCCACTTGAACCTCCTCTGAAAAACAGCTGAGATATTTGCCATTAGATCTGAAGAGGAGGACACCTGGTTACACTTACTTTCTGGGAAGCTTTAAGTACATAGCACTCTCAACTCTGGCACCAGCACCAGCAGAACGCTCCTTGAATTGTCAGCGAGAGATTTTCTTCCCCCCACCCCGCTTCCAGCGGTATCCCCAGTCTCGGGGCATGGCATTTTTAAAATTCATTCTATCTTCTTCCAGACATATCATCCTTTCTATCATTTAAAGTGATATGTACGTCTTTGCACATTCTGCTCAAAGGGGTCTATACAAAGTTTTTTCCAACCTCTTCACTCTCCAAAAAAAGACTAGAAAATGCATTTTCGAGTAGTTAGTGATGGATGCAGAAGCTCAGGATCCCAGTCCAACTGCCTCATGACCGTGTCTCAGCTCTCCCACCTACACAATAGAGAAAACTCCCCTCTCTGCCCAGAGGCAGGAACTATTTCCTCTTTTAAGTGCCAGGAGGTAAAGGAACGTCAAGACATCACAGCCGAAAATTGCTATACTATTATTTACACGTATATATTGGATTAACGTGGAGTCCTAGTCAAGAATCCAGGTTATCTCCATCCATACAAAAATTAACGCAGCCATAGCAGCTATTTTACAGACTCCCTTTGCCGAACGCTGTTTGTTTTGTTTATACATATTTATCAAAACTCAAGAACACCATGAAAGAAACCCCATCAAATTAGAAAAACTGATGGATCTACACAGTGATGTACTACAACCAGAAGGTGAAACCCTGATACCATGCGGTTTTATGGATCTAGATCATCCATGGTCACAAAACTGCTAGATGATGCCTAACTTTATGGCAGAAATGACAAATGATGTCAAATTAAGAAACGTTATCTACTTGAACTGCCCATTCTTATGCTGATGCGAGAAACTGAGACACCAATTAATGAAGAAAAGACAACACAGGAGGCATCACTGATCTTTCTCTTGGCACGTAACTAAACACCATCCTTTTAGCAAGCCACTGACTGCCATGCACTTTTGCTGGCTCCAACAAAAAAAGCTCACATTTTCTAGTAACAGCAAAACTTAGGCTCAAGTTTACAACTCTCCCGGGTAACAGGAAATCTCGCTGTGATGGAGTTAACTTTCAGAACTGGATGATGAATGAGACACCTCTTCAGGCAAATGGGGAAGTTTTCTTTGTGTAGTCCAATCATTTTTGTGATTTAGAAAAAACTTGCCACTGACACAGTAGTTCTTAACACGTTTTACAAATGAATAAGCTGTAAACTTTTTTGATTGGATAAAAATGTATTTTTCATCATTCTGATACATTTTGTTTAAATTCAAACACAAGCTTACCTTTTAATGTAAATGTCTAAAAATTTCTACAAGAAAAGTGATTCCCATTCGAAAAGCTGAAATCCTGCAACCCTGTTTTACGAAAAACCACCAAAATTTCAAGACATTTTCACATTTTCTGGCAGCTCTCACGTGTTCATGGAGACCACAAAGCTAAGCAGGTACCAGAGAGGAGCTGGAAGGGAACTACCCAAGTAGTTAAATTTGGTTTCTGTAGTTGGCACAGTAATTTTAGTAGCTGCCTCTCCTTCCATCTGCTGGCTTATTCCTTACCCATATTAATGACACGTCTCCTCCTTCCCCTGTTCAAGCTGCCTAAGAACTTGTCCAACTCTCAACTTTCACCTCAACTTCTGAGAATATTCTTCTCCATGACCATATTGTGCTTTTAACCTTTGACAGAGACTGACAGCTGGTTTTAGCAGAGAAGAGATCACGCTCAGGAGTTTTCAACCTCAAAGGAAAAGGTCTCATAACTACAGGTAACCATACAATCTCAATCTCGACTTCCTCCCTGGCAGTGTTCAAGGCCAGGTTGGATGGGGCTTTGGGCAACCTGGGCTAGTGGAGGGTGTCCCTGCCCATGGCAGGGGTGGCACTGGATGGGCTGGGAGGTCCCTTCCAACCCAAACCAGTCTGGGATTCCATGATTCTATAAGAGCTGATTTTCCTCCTCGTGTTTCATTCCCACCAATTTCAAGGTCTTAACAGGACTTGTGGGTGATATACCATAACACAAGGCACAACATTTAAAGCCTCCCAACATTTCTGGAAAGTAGGTGAGAGTAACTGAGTTTTCAAGACAAGGAAGCCATGGAAAAGAATTCAAGACTTCATCGTTGACTGTTTTGGTATGCTCGTGTAGAACTTGTGAACACACTGTGAATTTTTGACTACAGCTCTTCTTGCAAGCAGGAAATTAATTAATCTGCCTCCACTTCTGCTACTTATCAGTCAGGCATACTCTTGCTAAGCGCCAGGGAAAGTACTCAGGATGTCTGACTTTCCCTTCACAGCTACAAACCACTGCCTGTTCACAATCCAAAAAGTTCCATAAAACTACAGATGAAAAATATGAAGCAATATGAACTTAAAAGGGGGGGGAAGAAAGAAAAAGAAAGAGAGCAGGCACAAGTAAATCCTGCAAAGGCACACTGCTTTCTAGACAAAGGGCAGCTGTCAGCTGAATACCTTCAATGAAGAAACCAAATGATCTCTTTTGTAGAAAGTGACAGTGGAGGATTAAAATGAAAAGTGGCCAAATAATTTACATGAGATGAGAATCCATATGATGGTAAAGAACGTAGATATCCTTGAAGCGGTTTCATTTCAATAACACTGAAGCCTAGAAAAATTGCAGATTCAGATAAACCCTCTTTCTTTCAGGGATAATGTGCTTAGGACAATGACGGAGAGAGAATCCATCTCAGCCCTGGGCTCTGTAATGGAAGTAAATGCATTCCCCCCCACTTTCTACCAAGGTGCCCCATCTGAATTCCTGCAATAGCTGCCAATCTTTTTTTGCTCGGCTGTACGGCTTCTGTTATCCAGGCTTAGATATCAGATGCATTAAGCAATGCCTCAGTAGTGTTCCTGATAATCCACAGTGGAAGTTTTGCTGCTTCGTATCAGCTTTGCAGCTGCCAGGGAAGTGTTTGAAACGACCCAAGCTACGGAGCAGCGGAAGGACGGGCAGGTTTGGTGCTTTTTCATAGGGCTGGATGTCAGACACAAACAGATAAAAACCCAGAATTGCTCAGAAGACCCTCGGTTGGGAAAAGGCTTAGTTTACAGCATGACATAATGGTTAAAGCTTCAAAGTGTGGAAGTGATTCAAAGTAGAGAGGTTTAAATGTGTTGCAGGGCAACAATTCACCGCGGGTCAGCTCTTACAGCAGAATTACACAGACTCAAGGTGAGGTAATTCAGGTATGTGTACATCGGGGCAAACTCATCGAAAGAAGGATAATTTACCTTGCAATTAATGGGAGGTAAGAATACACAGATGGATATTTATTGAAGACGTGCTGCAAGTTCAGTCCCTCGCTCAACCTTGTGTTTGTGTCTCTGGGTTCCCACTTCCGCCAATGCGGGAAGTGCCCGCAAGTGAAATATCCCAGCACTCTTGCTGGGGCTCTAACTCCTCCACCGAAGACCATCTTGCCCAAGACTCGGGCTGCAGTCCAGCTTAACACAATTTAAGCAGGGACTGAAAGGAATAGTCCTATCCTCTCCTTCATTCCCTTTTTGCAGGAAGGTTTTCTGCCCAGCTGCTTCTCCGGTCCAGCCTTCCACACGTGCCAAGAGCAGCGGTCGCGCAGCCAAGGGAGGCGGGCAGGAGACAGCCGAAACACGCAGCTGGGACCAGTTGCTTCAACAGCAGCTCACACACATCCTTCTCAACCGATGCTAAAAGCAAAGCCTGAGTGATGGGCTCGGCGACTGGCCCAGGGACGGATGGAAAAAAAAGAACTGGCCATTTTCCTCAGCTTCCATCTCACCTCTGCTGATGAACAGAAGATCTTGCTGCCACCAGGGACTGAGCTCCCTGCCAAACCCTCTGGTGTCTCAAAATACAGGAGAGTGCAAGCTGCTCTTTTGTCTTCGATAAGACTGCCTGTAATTTCAGCTCCCTATCTAGTTTCCCTTTGAACGGTACCTCTGCTTTCCACTGACAAGTTACATAAAACACTCAAATATAGTTACCAACTTTATCTCTCATTAGTATATTTATCAACCTAGTATCACCCAGTAGCAAGAGGTCATTGTTCCAGTCTTTGCGGCTTTTAACAGAACTATTATTCAGGCTGTCACATCAATGGAAATATTTCTGAAGTTAGACTGTCATCTGTGCCTGAGATCTTATCACTGCATGGCATGAGACAGTCTGTCAAAGAACTGACATTCAAAGCATAATCTCATCGGAAAGTGTAATGACTAGTTTATTTCCCAGTAAATACTGGCCAAGAATATCACTAATGCCATTTTCAGCGAGGTCAACAGATGACACCATCCATTTTATCTACTGATATTTCTACAGATTCTATAATAATGGCACGCGTGTCAGCTAAACAGTGCACCCCACAATATACAGTGAAGTCATCTCTATTTCAGACAGCAAAATTAAAGCTCAAAGATATCCTGTCCGCAGATAAACTCTGACGGAGTTGAGAATTACACTGAAGTGACCATCTTCTTTTTCCCCCAGGACTGAAAACGTAACCACCAGTTTAGGTGCTGCAAGAAACATCTGGCGAGCCACTTTTGCACTTGAGATCTGCCAAGGATAAAAACTGCAGCTCTCTGGACGCGAGCAGATGAAGTTGAGTCTCGACATTCCTATAGCGTCAGCTCAACTAGACCCTCCATCCAGGCAAAAGACAAATTAAAAAAAAAAATCCTAAACCTAGAAAAAACACCGATGAATGCAATTGCTACAGCTCTCTACTGTTTCCCCTATAGCACTACCCTTTAGCTAGGGGCTCTCGTATGTCTGTGGATTTTAAGGACTGAGGAAACCACGGTAGGAGTCCAGCTTGACCTCTTCTACAGCACTGACCAGAGGTCTCTCAGCAATTCTGGCATTAAGCCCAGATCTTCTGTTTGACCTAGAGATATCCAGTCTCAACACAAAAAGTTGGGATTTTATTCAATGCAGTATCTATCATCACTTTGGAATCAAACTGTAGGAATCCTCATTCCTTAAAAACCTACATCACATTCCCAACTCGAGCTTTCAACCCCAGAGTATTACCACACTCTCTGTCTAGGGAGAGAACAGTTTTTAAGTCTCTAACTATAAGAGATGTTTCATTCTTGAACTTCTTTTCATGAAAAGTACAAACCTGGAGGAGAGTTCTCAACAGGATTAAATCACTTAGAACACCAGACAGATATGAATTGTAATTATTTTGCACGTCAGTGTGTGTTCGTGTATATAAATTGCATAGTCATTTCGGTACACGTTGAAAAACCTGTGCAATAGACCCGACTCTCTATTCTGGTTTTACAAATCAGTTGCTAAACTCTGAGACAGTCATTTTACTGATGTTTCTTAGCAGGAATCTACTCTGCAATGTAGATTAAAACACCAGAAATGCACCTTTCACCGGAGTGCGTTAAAACTGTATGACCTTCAAAGCTACTATAACATCATCAAGTTTCTCATTTTTTAAAAATCATTTTCTCTGTGTTTTGACAGCAGTTTCAAGCATCAACACAATCCTATCAAGCTATTAATATTATCCGAAAATTTGTTTAAAAACAGAATTGATAATAGCTCTGAAAGTCTCATACTTGCAAAAGATAATCTATGCCTCCTAATCTATAGCACCCTACTGTCAAGATAATTAACAATTAAAAAAAGAATAGTTAAGACATCGGAGGTGGTGATTTACTCTTCCTTGTAATTGGATTTGGTGATAAGAATATTTTTGAAATTACACAACAGCTCTCTTCTGAGTAGAAAGGTTTGGAGTTTTTAGCAATTTGAAACACACAGGTACTTTCTACTTAAGGCACCTTGAAGACACTGACAGCAGACAATGGCTAAAATTTTATGACTTTCCTTAGGCTTTATGGTGTCGCACACTCCCAAAACTAACACAGTTAACTAAATTGTTCAAAAAATACAAGGGGAAAGAAAAAAGATGGAAAATTTTTTAAAGCCAGCAAGAAACTAACACATCAAGACATGATGAAGTGAGAATTGTTCTATAATATTTCAACAACCATTTGGTGTGAGCATACAGCACCTTCAAAGCTCTTCCTAACAAGGCATCTAAGCATGAATAATAGTATGCCTTGTCCTCCTTTATTTACTTGCAATATTTAAACTGAGACCTACACACTATTTATGTGCATTAAATCCTCTAGACTTAACTCCATGCCAAACAAGACCTTTACGAAGACAACTGTGAAACAAACATCTCATCTACATTTTTTAATTTTGTACAGGGGAAGAGTTGTTTAAGTTACATGTTCTGGATTATCGAGTTCTAACAAAGCAAGCAAAGCTAAGGCAGGGTCGGTCCGTGGATGAAACATCTTCAAGAAGTGGTGAGACCCTGCAGAAATCAGCCCCGGCACTTCAGTAAGAGCTCACCCACTTGTAAGGGCTGTTTTGCTGCTTGGTGACCCCTTTCCAATGAGATGTACTGTAATCAACACTGTGGTTATTAGAGATGCTACTTGCAGACAGCAGAGGATTCCAAGGGTTTATTTGGCAACACAAATAAACAGCAAAATGTATGACTTGGATTTTACATTACTCAAACCAAAACATCATTCTCTGCTCTCTTGAAGAAAATATTAAACTCATCAGAGTCAGAACTTGGTTTTCTGCTCATCTAAAGTAAGATATTTCTAGAAGACCAGCCTACCTTTGCCTCAAAATTGTGCTTTAATGGCACGTTCAGCACTGGATCACAAAATAATGTATGTACAAAATGTCAAGTGTAAGCAGCAAGGTCCTTCAAGTTACTAGTTTACCCTCAGTAAGGTCATGTTTTTCAAAACTTCATAATCCTTCTGGCTATGAAGCTTGAAGTCTCACTTTGTCCTAAGCCTCCAGGAGAGGAAAAATACCCAACATGAGATTTGTGATAAAGCTTAGTACGAGCTGACAACTTCCAATGTAATCACTAGCATTTCCCCTCAAAGATCCCCAAGTTTTTCTTTTCAGTTTCCAGTATTGGACCAGACTCAGGTCCACTCAGCTTAGAAGCACATGGACAGCCACCATTGCTGCTGCGTTTTCAGAAAGTAAGAACCGATTAATCTAATGAAAGGACCCTACCGGATTCAAAAGACAAGATAGGGCCAATTCTTGCAGGATATCCAGTGCCTAAAGTCAAAAGGCTAAGGATCAAAGCTTCTGGCCTTGGGCTCTGTACATATATTTTCCCTAACACCCAGTATCTTAAAGATCTGGACCAGAACTATTACTCTATTAAATGTTGTACAGACACAAAGCAGAAAAAGTTGGGTTTGTTTTTGGTTTAAATATCAATTTATTCCCTGCCTCGCGACCTAAATGCAATGCAACAGATGGATATAAGCAAATGAGAACAAGAAATAATGAATCAGCGTAGGCCAGCATGCTAGTTCATTAAGCTACTACAGTGCCAAGACCAGCTTAATGATGTTCTTTGTAGACATCATAGAGAAGATGGTTTAAGGAAAGTCTTAAGCAATGAGGCAGCTTTGCGGATACTTGAAGAATACTACTTCTCAAGTCTGGCAGCAGCAACATCTTTTTATTTATTTTCTACAGATTCTTCAATGACCATTCACCATCCCTGTGTAAAGGAGATAGCTGAGTTTATTATTTTTATGTATTTTTTGCCTACAGGATTGTGAATAATTACCTTGGAAGTAATCCACTCCAAGGCCTCAAAAGTATTACTTCATTAAAAAACACTCATGATGCTTTGTATTTCAAGAACACTTTCTATAACCAGATCATAAACTCCTTAAAAGTATTCTGAAATTGTGTTCTTTAATCTTATTCTTCAATATTATTAGAAGAATTTAGAGGTAGAAGAACAGCAAAGTTAAGAGATACAGACACAAGAAACCAGCCGCAGAGCTGTGAAATGAGTCTGCAGCTCCTTACCCCTAGATTTGTGCTCCCTGTCATGAGCCATGTTTTTTGCCATGTGCTTCCTCTTAAATGTCATTGCCACTCCACCTCAGCAAAGCAAGTTCCCTGGGGACAATCTCACCTCTTCAGGAAGCATGACTAAACCAGTACTGGTAGTAACACTCTAAAAGAGCTGGGGAGAGGCTGTTGACAAGGGCAGGGAGTGACAGGCCAAGGGGAATGGCTTTAAACTAAAAGAGAGTAGATTTAGATGAAATCTGAGGCAGAAATCTTTCCCTGTGAGGGTGCTGAGGCCCTGGCACAGGGTGCCCAGAGAAGCTGTGGCTGGCCCCGGCTCCCTGGCAGTGTTCAAGGCCAGGCACGGT